ACGCGCGGCGGCAGCGGCGGCAGCGGTGACTCTTGCGGCGGCGCGTGGAGGCGCGTGGGTGGTCTGTTCGCCGCGATCTTCGTACCACAGTGGTCGCCCGGTCGAGACGATTCCGATGGTGTGGTCGCCGGTCGATTCTGGAACTCCGGCGACGGTGGCGGCGACGACGACGGCGACGGCGGCGACGGCAGCGGCGGCGACTGCAGCGGCGGCGACTGCAACGACAGCGGCAGTGATGAGTGCCGGAGACCGTGGAGTTGACTGGAACTATTCCTGTGCTCTAAATACCATATTGAATATAGTGAAGAAGATTAGGAGAAATCTCCCTTGTGTGTTTAGCATACACATAGGGTAGTTTATTTATAATGTAAGATAAGGGTTAAACCCTAAATACAAAATGGGCTAAGCCCAATTAACAGAAACACACAACTTAACATCTAACACTCCACAACACCTTCACTATTACTTATATTATTATTATTATTCTCTTCAACACTCACCACTTTGTGCTCAATCTCTTTTCACCGATGGAAAAACTGGTTCGTGAAAGACTCCTGAATTTTGCTCCAGAACCTTCTTCATCTCCTGCTATTGCTTGCCCGTCAACCCCTGGCAGCCACCATCTTCCTCTCTCCTTCCTATCACCCCCAAATCCCACACCAAGGTCCACGCTTCTACTTCCTTTATTTTTAACAAAGCTTCTGGCTTTACCAACCTTCTAGCTAATGTGGGATCCCCCTTGATGATTACCTTCTTCCCTCCTTGACTGAACACCATAGTTAATTTCCCTCAGTCTAGAGTTACTTCTCCCAGCTTGGCTAGCCACTCCGCTCCCCAGTATTACATCAACTCCCCCTAGTTCGAATAAGTGAAACCTCTCTGCTATCTCGGTTTCCCTGATCACGACTCTCTCGCAGCAGCCCTTGCTTTTCTTCCTCTGCCCATCCCCCAAGCTCACCTAGTACGGTGGGGTATCCTCCATGGGTAAACCCAGTTCTACTACTAGTCCCTTGCTTATGAAATTGTGGCTCGCGCCACTGTCAATCAAAATCAATACCGTTTGATCCCCTATCAGACCGTGCAGCTTCATCGTTTTTGGGTGAGTGAGGCCTCCCGCCGAGAAAGCGGACAACTCCATCTGCTTCAGGTCTAATTTTGTCTCAGCTCCTTCAGTCTCCTCTTCATCGTCCGCCAAAATAACCATCCGTAGACTCCTTTCTGGGCAATGGTGGCCTGGACCGAACGGTTCCCCACACCTGAAACACCTTCCCTCCTCTCTTCGTTTCAGGAATTTTGAGTAAGGCAAATTCCTAGTGTTCCTCCCATTATTATCACTACCCTCCTTCCATATTGACCCCACACTCTCGACGACTCCCGATCTGCCTGAGTTATAGTGATTGGCCTCGGTCCGCTTGACGACTCCCGATCGGCCTGGGTTATAGCTATTGGCCTCGGACCGCTCGGCAACTCTTGGTCGGCCTGGGTTATAGCGATTGGCCTGGGACCATGTCACCTCAATTGGGTGGCCCTTCTTGGTGTTCACCCTCTCTCTCGCCTTCGGCTTCCTCACGCCTGTCGCTCCTGTTACCATTGACAAACCCCTGGCTTCCGTCTGAATTTCATTCCAGCTCTCAGGCTCGCTCTCCCACAATTCGCATCAGTTCTTGCAAATCTTTGCACATTGCCGCTGAATCTTGACGCATCGCGGCCAATTCTTGGCGCATTGCTATCGTCTCTGCCTTCAATCCATCCATAGCAATCTCCATGTTCTCCAGCTACCCTTCGACTACATTCAACCGCCCATCAATTCTACCCTCTAACGCCCCTAATTTTCCCTCCATATCGTCCTTCACACTCAATTGGATCTGGCAGGTCGGACCAATTGATAGGTTTCTGGACAATGAAACCTATCCAACTCCCTCACAAGCACTCAACAGTAAGACACAAATAGAATGATTAGAACTTTTGTATTAACCAAAAGAACAAATGTACACGTATAGTGATCTAACATGAGCCTAATCCCCCTCCACAGGTCAATGTCCTGTCTTTACAAAGAATACCAAAACTCCCTCCTTCCCCTGTACAGAACACACACCCTATTTATAAAGTCTCTCTTCCTTCTGTCCTAAACCCATTATATCCTATTACCTTATATTCTATCAGAAATATAAAGAGCTCAATGTGATTAGAGCAAGGCAATGTTTTTGAGATTGTGAGATAGATCACAAAGTCACAATATTATCACCCCACACTCATTGAAAGCTTGATGAAACATGAAATTGGATTTGGGTGAAATTGAAGCAAAATTGCAGCAGCAAGATCATAGGATCAAGCAAGCTTCTCAATCCAGCAAGTGGAATGTTTTATATCATTGATAGAGAATCTTATGATCCTTATTACCAGCCTATGTTTTGCAATATTGCAACACCCCTCCCATCAAAGGAAGTGTAAAACTATGTTCACAAAGAGATACTAATGTGGCTGTTGTTAGAAGAAAAGGACCCCTCTAAGTGAGAGATAGGTCCTTTTTCCTTTAACATGTTGAAAAATCTAATAACAGTTGATTTTTGTTGGAAGTCTCACATCGACTAAAGACCAATTTAGAATATATATGTAGGTGTAAACCTCATCATACAAACCGGTTTTGTGAGATTAAATTAAGTTTAAAGTCAACTTCTTAACACTTTTACTAAATAATAACTAAAACAGCTATATCACCTTTGCTCAAGAACATTACGCTCAACATAATTATCCAATAGAAATGTAAATGAAAACAGAAGAAAAAGGAAAGCCTAGATTGTTCTAAAAAATGTTTGACTAGAAACTAGGGTCATCTAGAAGAACGAATTAAAAACTTAACCGCCCAAGTGGTGTACATAATGACTTTTAAGTTTGTTGTCATGCTCACAAGGCAGCAACACAAGAAATGACCACAGTTTGTTGTTTTGTTTCTAAAACACAGATTATCAATAAAAACTTGAAAAATAACACCAAAGGGCTTCTTCTACAAAAACTACTAACCAGAGGCAACGACCACAAATTAGCATCCGATGGTTGTGTATTTGGAAAGATTGTCTCAGCAAACTTCGGACCAGTTGACTCATCACATACAGGACCCATTATACTGCCCCACTGTCTGGCCTCGGGAACAGCAGAACCAATAGAAGTTACCGCATTTGCATCATCACTGTCAAGCTGCAAAGAATGAATAGGCATATTCATAAAATTCTCAATAGCAACCAATTCATTCACTAAAATTTGAGAATCTTCAAAAACTTTGCCATCAGATTGTGTAATATCTGTACTTCTAATAGGACTCTGTTTTTCCAAATAATCAGTACGAGGGTTGCCCCCGTGCTCCAGAGCTGAATCTTCTGAAGTTATTAAGGGTGTAGATTCCATGACGTCGTTTTCTGAGCCAGACTCCGAGGAGAGAGCAATTGCTTTCACAGGAAAACTAGCGGGTGTCTTTGGAAATGAACAAATTTCATAAGTAGAAGTCTGGTCACATGAAACCACTGTCGTGGGAGATTTCATTTGAAGATCATGTTCTTTTGTGACAGATTTCGTGAGTTTTGTAACACGAGTATCCAGAAAACCCTTCTGCTTCACCTTGGTCAAATCATTCAGCTCGGGCATGTCATTTATACTATAGTTCTCAACACACAGTCCATTTTGTATATAATTAGATATTGTCTTTGCATGTTTCCAAAGTTCTGAGTAGACATTGGTGGCTTCCTCTTCATTGCAATTGAAATTCAAGTACAGTTTTGCTAGAGTGAGTGAAACCTTCTTATCAATGTCATGTTTCAACAAAGAAGCTGCTAGCCAACACTGAGATACAAGTTTCATCACACAACTATGATATAATGCTTAATGACTAGTAATATTTGTTTCACAAATTTTTCCAAACAAGGAGTAGTCACAAACAGCAGCAAGCAAAAATGATCAACCCAAAACACCTTTCGCAGCATATATGGTGCAGTTGGCAATTTAAACTCAAACATGATTTTTTACCAACCATACACTGTATTAAAGAATGGTTTTAAGCCTAACTCAATCCCACAAAACCAACTTGTATGTTAAGATTTGCATAACACACTGATTTGAGACAGAAAAAGAGAAAATGTATGGTGAATTCTCAGCTTATTTTGAGATTGCTGGAATTCTTAATTTTCTTTTTAAGAAAGCTGTGCCCTACCGAAAAAATTACCATAATTTAGCAGTCAAAACATTCATAAAAAATCACACAACTTTCCAGTAGCTTCCCAAAATTCATAACAGGTGTAGAAAATATGCTTCAAAATCATATGCTAAAAAAAATTCTCAAACAACTAACTGTTGCTAGCCATATCTAGTCTGAGACAGACTTGCATTATGAACAACCGGGGAGCTTAAACCAATAAACATGGACAAGGTAGTAAGAATTCAAATTATTTGCAGAATTTAAAAGAAAAAATATCAGTTATAGTAGCTCCTTTCTTTCTCAAAAGATGCACAATGGTTTGTCCATAATTGAAAGACTAGCTACTAATGTTTTTTATATAAAAATTCAGAGCAAATACTAACCACAGATATTTCAAAAGCCTGTACAGTAGAAACTTCTTGGAAATTAACATTGTACTGTTTGAATATGTGCTCAAGAATCCTCTGGGCAACAACCTTGACATTTTTCTACACATGAAGAAAAGCATCGAGGTCAATTACGATCAACAAAGAACCTACAAAGCTCAAAAGCTGGTTTTATCATATTGTTAATCACCCAGCTATACTAGTTCAACTACATTGGGACCCAAAGAGAAATGAGAATAGCATAATGAGAATGCCCAGATCAGATGTTTATGTGGCCACACAAGAAAGGAGACGATATGAAATGATTATATATGGGCAGATATTGGTGCAACACTAATTCAGGAAAAGATGCAGAAAATTAGTTCAACAGATATAAAAAAGGTCAATAGAAGCAGCAGGGAGGGGAGTAGATTGCATGGTTATTTTAGTCCTATGAAAAGGGGGAGAGAGAGAGAACGAAGGTCATTGGAAGAAGTTGTTAAAGGGAATCGTATAGTGAATAATATGTCAAAGGATTTCATATTTAACAAATGGCATCATGTGATTTCATATTTAGTTTACCACCCAATGGAACAACACTTTGTGTTGTAGATGATGGTGGTAAACTAAAATGATAAATCTTCCCTTTTTTCATAGCATGTTTGTAGGTTTCTTATTAAGATCTAATGGATTTGAGAATGCAAGAAAAAGAAACCTAAGGCAAAGTATAAAAATCTGCAACAAACCCATTTCACACAGAATATATATACGCCTTATGTACCACATACTTGCATTAATAGTGTACAGCACACTTGAACATTTACCATATACCCAAGATGATTGTAAACCTGATAACTATAGGTAGTGATTCATCTTTTAGAAGGTTTTCATCAAGATATCCCACATCAGCTTGAAATAGATTAAATCCCTCTTCATAAGGCTTGGTTGATCCTTTCACCTCAGCTAGCTTTGGGTGTTAAGTTGTGCATCATTCATTTCCAATATAGTTTTATACTTGCTCCAGTCTTGACTTTAAGCCACTGCAGACTTTACGCTCCAAATATTCAATCCTATGGATGAAGGTGGATGCTAAGATGTCTCACATTGGTCAGAAAAATTGTTAGGTTTTGGGGGGAAGTTGTGCCAGTTCCTCTCTAATACTTTGGAAAGGAGAAAGGCCTGAAACTGATTTGGGTTGATTCAATGTAGTATCATTGAAAGTTTGAACCAGGACTCCTGAGAGAGTATGCTTGCACCACCATGGGGAGTCATGACTCCCCACCTGAAGGTGTTTCTAAAGTTTTAATAAAAAGAATGCATATTTAAGCAGAGGATAGTTAAGTATTGAGACCCTACCGGAAAATGTAGAATTTCACAAAGACCTGAAATATCCGACTTTGGCAAGAATTTGATACTATTTGGTCCATCAAGCAGTTTCCTTTTCTCTGAAAGTTGAATGTTTGTAGTAGTTTCTCCCGTAGTTTCATTGGCCAAAGGATGCCCTGAGGAATCAAGTACACTAGACAAACCATTTGTACCTGAGGGCATGAAAATAAATTAGCAATAGCAAGTACCTTTTAGAACATTCCCACCACACCCTAAGAAAATAGCTCTGCCATGAATTAAACTAATGGTTTGCAAGTAAAAAGTTGGTTGAAGGAATAAATTATAAAAGTGGAAGAAAAAAGTTAGTCATACCATTTGATTTACTAGTACTATTGGAAACACTTGAATTCTTCTTGTTCCTCAATCTTGATTTCCGATATTTGGAATCACGAATTTTCTTGGACATTTTCCTGCCACCAGATTTAACAATACCATTGAACACCTTCCTAGTCTTAGGATCAATGGCATGATTTGACGGTTCCATCCCCTCTGTTTCAACAATGTCTTTGGATACTTTCCTCCTCTTGGGCTCAACTTTATCCTTGGCCAGCTTCCTCAAATTATGATCAAAATTATCCTTGGACACTTTACTCTTCTTGGAAGCATTCGATGCTGTCCTCTTTCCCATAATTGTATGACCTTCACATTCAGATTCATTTATTATGTAATCAGAATGTTTGACCCTACTCCTCATCCTCTGAGACGGAACAGACAAAAATTTCCATTGAGGATACTTTGCTTCAAGATCACTCCAGGAAAAAGCACTTGGCTCACTGCCCAGTTCCTTCATTATTCTTTCTCCTAGCAATAAAATGTTCCTCGAATATTCCCCTCCATTCTGCTGTATTGTTGATATGAATGACAATTCATGACAATCAATATCATCAGCATCACAAACCAATTGGGATGATAATTCACAGAGTACATCATGCAGAAGAGTTTGATCTGCAATGTCTGGAGTAGAAACAGCAGTTACACTGGCATGTAAATCATCCAGCTTATTGAACAGATGAGAGGTGCCCCATTTTAGAAGAGTGTGAGAAATACTATGACTAATCAACCGCACGTTACTGTCAAGTGATATACCCTCCTTTGCAAGCATTAAAATCTTTTCTTCAACAGTGTAATATGAGTACAATCTGAAAACGGTTAATTGTTTCAACTGTGTGCTGATAGACATCCTTTGTAAACCTCTTAGGTCATTTTGTGGGTCAAAATCACTGTCAAACAATATAACAATGTCCACTGAAGAAAGCTTAATACTAGGGAGACAAGCACGGTTTTCCATCAAGAAGACAAATTTACCACTGTCTCTATCATTAAATGTGTCTAAAGCAGCTTCCTTTGTTTTAGGGGTATAAGCTCTATCATATCGCACATAGAAATCTATACCAAATCTCTGACAGAGAACATCATCCAAAATATCTCCAATCGATCCAGAACCACAAGATGACTGTAGATTTTCGAAATGAAAAAGAGCTAATTGAATCCTCAAGAATCTTAAACAAACAGGTTACAACCACTACAATTAACAACCACAATATGATATACCTTGTTTTAATGGGAGCTGCAATTCTCATATTTCTAAACCCTAGACATGCAGTACAAATAATAACTAAAAAAACCAAACATTCATCTATTCACAAGGTAGAATGTATATGAAGAGACTAATGTAATATTCCTGAGTAAGTCAACATGTACGCTATATTGACATACCAATTCTCGTATTTCTAAACCATAGTCACAGTAGTTAAAATTATTAAATATAGTGAAAAGTTGTGCATGGAATTAATCTCACTTGTATAGAAAATACAGAGTACTTTATTTATAAGAAAAGAAATATAAGCTAAGCCAAAAATACAAACTAAAAAATAATAACAAAGTAACAGAAGATAAGCAACTGAATATAAAAGATAAATATAAGACATCTAAGATATGTAATAATCTAAGATATCTAACAAAATTAATAACTAAAAAAAGCCACAAAATTCATATATTCACATCACATGGTAGATAGAATGCATAGGAAAAGAGACTATTTTCATATTCAATACAAAGTCAACAAAGACACAGTACTGACAAAGTACTTGAACTGCTTCAAGTATTTTGCATTTCATGCAAATCATATTTTGATGTCCTTGTACAAGATAACGCAATACTCACGAAGTATCTGACAATCTACTTCAGAAAACTATCAAAATTTCAGTATCAAGAAATCAAAATTGGATGACAATTTTTATATGCTAGCCATGGCCTTCATATATTTCGTGGAAAACTTTAAAGAATGCTAGTTGGACCTGATTCTATCAAAATTCCCAATAACATTCCTGACAATATTGGTTGTGCCGACCAGCATCAAAGAAAAGACAGTAAACTCCAATAACAATTCATAGCTTAAAGTAACAACAGTGGTCGACTGAAATAATACTATACAAAATTGTTGACAATTGTATGTGCTTTTATTTTAAATTTTAAATTTAAATCAGAATTCTAGAAGATTTAGATAGCAAAGAATAGGATCAGATTATTCAGATCTGATTTGATTTTATTCTCCTTTATTTCCATCCTATCTTACCTTTATATTTATTTTGTGATCCCTGCCCAGTTCTACCTTTATAACTCTTGTAATTATGGTCAATCAAAAGCTTTGGCTCTCTTATGTAATTCCTCTCCAAAAATTACATGGTATTTGTTAAAATTATGATTGTTATTGTATTCTACAGCTTTCACTATATGTACCTAGCCTAAGGGTTGAGTGTTACAGGATATACCTTTTCCTCATAATGTATTCTTCTCTCTTTCTTACATATGCATATACACACACATATATACATCAGCTAAGTTAGTACTCAGTGATTTTTATCACATCCAAATTCAAGCTGGTATCAAGAGCCCTGTCACCAGACCACCGCTATCCATTGTCTCTAGCCGTCATCATTTTGTTTGACACAATCAAGGTTAGGTGCACCTTGAGAAGTGCCACGTGACCACAACTTCGTGATGCACCGATCTCCATCAGCCCTTCACAAGGCGCATTTGTCCCACACACCACCTTCCCGGTGCTTAAATCACACCAGACCACTTCCGTTCATCTTGTTGGCATCTTCTAGGCACATTTCTGCCCTTGTCTTCCTAGTTCAACACACTTGGACAGCTGGTCAAGGCTCTCTCCTTAAATAAGTTTGTGGCTGTCTCTGGAATGGCTTCTACTATTTCAACTTCTTTTGCTGCTACTCCTACTATTACCACAGCAAAACTCAACCGGAAGAACTACTTAACTTGGTCTCCAGCATCCATGGAACTAAGGTTCCTAGGTCAAGGATACCATAATCATTTGGAAAAGGATACCATAATCATTTGGAAAAGGATACCACAATATTTGGAAGGGCACCCTAGTTGCAACAATACCCAAGGTATGCTATGTAAGGGAACTTATTGCTAGTTACAAGTGAAATTTGTCCTTATTCTCTACTTTCAGTTGAAAGACAGGTTTGCTAACTGGGCTACTGCTCATATAAATTCCAACCACAACAACAATCATAAACAATAATGAAAAAATAAAAAATAAAAAGTACTATATAAGTTAAAATGTAGAGAATAAGTATATGATATTAAGATGATGGTGATGATGATAATAATGATAATAATATGACCTCCTACATTAACTGATTAAAACAACAACGCAATAGCAAGCAATATCTGTATTATCAGATCATCCCATAATTTTGCACTATAAGCAAAATATTAGTATGTAGATGAGTATCATATCATCAAGGTAACATGCACGATATTACAATCAAGAAATCAGCACTAGAGCTGTTAGGATATAATGTGTGCAGAATAAAAGGAAATAGATTAGGAATTAGTTGTTAGTTGGTTAGGGGGGCCTTTATAAGAAGGCAGGGAGGTCTTGTGTGAGGGGACTTTTTGGATAATCTTGTAGTTTGAGCTTTGGCTCTTTGTGAAGGGGAAACTCTTGGAGAAGGGATTGCCCTCCTATTCTTGTATTCTTTGGTTACAATAATAATACAGTTCTGTTCCCAGTAATCTGGTGAGTGAGTGTGTGCTGTTTTGAGTGATAGTTAGACTTCTTGACTAAAGAAGCCTAACAAATTGGAAAAAGTCCCCTCACACAAGACCTCCCTACCTTCTTATAAAGGCCCCCCTAACCAACTAACAACTAATTCCTAATCTATTTCCTTTTATTCTGCACACATTATATCCTAACAAGAGCTTTGTCAATATAACAAGTCAATGAACTCACAATAATATTTCAAATGATGAACAAACAATAAATTTGAATAGATGACTACCTGGAACAATATTAACACCCTTAACCCACGACTTTTTGCTTCCAAAAGAATTTTTTCAAGAAGTAGCAGTTTTCCGCTTGCTTTTATGCCAATATCTAGATGTTCTTCAACAGGTAGACCCTTAGCAACAGAATTATGCAGTGCCGGCTCCAGGAGATAAGGGTGGTCACAGCACTATAAAATCAATTCATATATGTAACTATGATCGCATTGTTGCATTAACAATGCATTTAGTGATATAGCTTTTATAAAACTTGAAGTAATATGAAGAAAGGAATGTTGGAACTACAAGCTAATGGAAAATAAATGTGATACATGAGATTTTAGCTTATTTGAAATTGTGTTTCTTTTCGTTTCTACCTTCCTTGTTGAGATAATAAGCTCATGGAGCGCACCAAGTGTGTCGGACTTCTGGCCTGAGCATAACAAAATTAAGTTTGAAAGCAGCATTGAACAATACTGTTCAAGCTGCAAATGAGAAAGGCAGGCAGGAACCCAATACTCTACAAACCTAGTAGAGCCAGATTTGCATTTAAATACAACATATTTTTCCAATTGGCTCTTCAAATTGGAAATGCTAGCACTGAAAGAAGTTTCCATTCGAGCAATACTTGGTCCATGATGTGCAGACTTGAGGAATGAAAGCAGTTTGATATAATCATATCGATCTTCCTGAAAATACATCACATAAAAGTTAATAGGGTGGAAAATTTAAATATCAAACATAATTAGTTTATGATAGGTTCAGTGGCAAATTCTATAAATAAAGAAGGCAGCTATAACCTCCTACGGCGTGTTAATATTCTATTGGTGTATTGCGGAGCTTTGTTGCCAAGCTGATCAGAAGCAAAAAGCATAACCTCTTACAGTTGTAACCTTGTAAAACAGACTATTATTAGTCTGTGTAGGCTGTTGTTAGTTTCAGTCTTTTGGAGTTTAGGAGCAAAAAGGGTGGGACAGTTTAGGTCCTCTCGAAAGACCATTTGAAACATACGGTGCTGTATCCCTGCCACATTAGCAGTATAACAAAATCCTCAATAACATGATCCCAAGAACCTATCTTGGATCTTTTTGTAATTTTGGGTGTTCTATCAACTTGTATTCAGAGCTACCTTATTGGCCCTATGGTGGCAACATTGGTGCTTATGATTAACACCAGAATGATTCAAGATTAGAAACCTTGGAATGCTTGTTTTCAAGAATTAGCGCATGATAGAGAAAAAGCGGATAAGGAGCAGAATAGAAAATTTAATCAGTGGGTTATCAGGGGCGATGGAAAAGATAACATGCAATGTCTGGGTCAAATCAAAATGAGTTTTCAACCCATAAATCTGGAGAAAAGGAGCAAGACTGGAGGATGCAAGGATGTTCAAGGTGGCGTAAACTTGACATCCCAATATTTGCAGAAGATGCCTTTGGCTGGACCAATAGATTGGACAGATATTTTTGTCTGCAAGAAGTCTCGGAAATTGAAAAAATGCAAGCAGTGATGGTGGCTTTGGAAGGGAAGGCTCTGAACTGCTATCAATGGTGGGAATCTTGCAACCCATATCTCACTTGGGAATCTTTCAAGACAACAGTAGTGCAACGGTTTCAACCAAATATGTTGAGATATCCCTTCAAAGTGTTGTTGGCATCAAAACAAACAGGAAACATCGAAGATTGTGGTACAATTTGAGCAATATGTGGGTTTGTTAAAAGGAATTGATCAAGATTATCTGATTGGGATATTCTTGAACGGGTTACAGGATGAGATCAAGCCTGAAGTCAAGCTGTATAAACCCTCAAAACTGGCTGACCTGAAGATGACAACCCAAATGGTGGAAGATAAAATTAAAGTTTTATCTAGAGGAAAAAGTTTTATGCAAACTAAGGTTGTGACAGTATCCAAATCCAATTGGCTGACTAGAAGTTTTGCAAGAGAGGGAAATTCTCAAATGCCTGCAAGAGAAAAGGGGAAAGACGAAATAGGAGGAATAAACAATTCAGGGGGAAGAAATCAGGGTTCATAGTGAAATAGAGGGTCAACTTTTCAACGATTGATGGATGAAGAAATGCAAGACAAAATAAAAAAAGGGTTATGTTTTAGATGTGATGAGAAATATAACCCAAATCACATTTGCCGCAACAAGCAATTTCACATGTTTCTGGTTACAGAAACAGCAGCAGAAGAACAAGAAGGATGGGTGGAGGAAGTGCCAGATCGAAAGATTCAAGGGGAAGAAGGGAAATCAATGCAGCTGTCTATGTTCACATTAGTTGGTATGACCACCAAGAAGTCATGGAAGGTTTGGGGATGCATTAGGCAGGAACATTGTTACGTACCTGAGTACGTCAACTAGCCAAATACACCCTTTCACACTCTCACACACGTAATAGAATAATAAACGAATGATATTGGATGAATGAATCTCTTTTATTGATGGTAATATCTGAATAAACAAGGGTAAACAATAATTGGAAGCATAACCTCCTTCAATTACTTTGAGAGCATAACCTCCCTCACAAGACAATAATGTCTGTCACAAAACTCAATAATCAAAAACATGTCTTTAACCCTAGACTCTAACTTTATTTATACTAATTATTTCCCGCCCATCTCTTATTAAATATTTCTCTAGAATATATTTAATAGGCTTAATACCCTCTTTCGTCCCCACTTTCATTGGATAATGTCAATTCAGTCCTCATTTTTAAAAGTGTTTGAAATATGTCTACAGTTAGTAAAATTTATATCTAATTTGTCCCTTCCGTTAAGTGTAATCAACGGAGTTAGTGTGTTAATGATGTGACACCAGATATTGATGACGTGTCAATTTATTGTTTGGTAACATCCGCCTCTCCCTTTCCGGTGACGCCTTCAACCTCGTCGTCCACGCCAAGACCACCCTCGTCGCTCCACTGGTCCAACCAGCATCGTCACTACAGATCAGACATCGCAAAACAAATAACCCTAAAACGTGCATAGAAACACTTCAGATAACAATCTGCAACTCCGCAAACACGAACGCAAGAACAGGAAATCAAACAGTACTTCTAGCCACTGATCAGCAAGATGGAAGAACCTCAACCCAAATCGAAATCAGAAAAATCAAGAATTTTCCCAAAAACAGAGCGAAACGAAACTCTGCATCCCAACTCTAAAAAATCAAATATCAAAAGAGAACCCCTAATGAATTGCAACAGGTACTGAACCCTCATCTACGTAGCCTTTGTACACGTTCCCGAAGCCTCCCACTCCAACCATCAATTGTTCGTTGAAGTTATCGGTGGCGGCTCTGATTTCTGCTATGGAGAAGTAGCGACAGAGGTTGGTTGGCAGTGACGATGAGCCACCCCCGCGAGAAGTTCCGCCTTTTTTGCTGGAACCACTTTCAAGGGCGATATTCTTTTTGTATTTGAAGAGGAAGAAAACAAGAATAGAAGAGAGCAAAAGGACACCTGCAACTACTCCTAGTATGGCTTCTCGGCTTTTCATAAAGACGCTACTTTTCTTGTTTGAGCTAAAGGGAACCTTAGGCTTTTGAGGAGGAGGGTTTGGGTTTTGTCCAGTGAGACTAACTGTTGAGCTGCTGATTTTGAACACTTCAATTGCGTTAATAATTGCGTCTTTGATCCAGCTTGCACGGCGAGGTGTGATCAGATTAATTGATTCTTTCTTCTTTTTGGAAGCTGTTGATGATTTGATGATATAAGATCTTTTGATTTAAGATGAGAATGAGAATGAAACCTCTGTTGTGCATGAATTTGATGTTTTTGAGGTTGATTATACATACATAGAGCTTGGTTATGTGAGGTGGGAAAATGAGGGAATGAATTATTAAAGAAGAAGAAGACAAACAAAAAGAAGAAGACCCAATTCTGAAAGAAAGTAACACGTCAGCACCCACAAAATTGACACGTCATCAATATATGGTGCTAGATCATCAACACACTAACTCCGTTTGATTATACTTAACGGAAGGGACAAATTAGACGCAAATTTTACTAACTATAGACATATTCCAAACACTTTTAAAAATGAGGACTGAATTGACATTATCTAATGAAAGTGGGGACGAAAGAGGGTATTAAGCCTAACTTTAAGTTACAAATTGATATATATAAATTAGTTAATATAATGATAGTTATTTTTCGTGTTTAAAATTAATTTATGTATGGGAGGATATTTGAATCGATCGACTAGCAACCCAAACGATCACCAAGGATAATGAGCTGTCATATGACTATTCCCGAACGATCGTCCACCCGTTAGAAAGAGCTATCGTTATATTATATTCACCAAATCATCTTGTAGCGATCGTTTATTGATTAAACCCAGTCAAAGGTAAAGGTCAACAAATGTTTGGTTAACCACAAGAAAGAGCGATCGTTATATCATAGATCGTCTTGTAGCGATCGTCTGTTGATTAAACCCAGTCAAAGGTAAAAGTCAACAAGTGTTTGGTCAATTTTGGTCAAAATGAATCTTTTAAATCCTGACAAATTAAAGAATAAAATGGTTAGAAATAGGTGGCCATGATGTCACAAATCGTGGAACCAGCTAACCCAATATCAAGTACGACCAAGCGGTTGTATTTTCCAAGCAGTTAAGTTCTCCAACCAACCGGATTTTCAGGTAAACGGTTTTATCTTACTGCTAGGTTAAATATGAAAATCCAGAAGGAAAAAAGGTACGTTTTTCTGAATATCAAGAAAGGATAGAAATATATTTTTCTTCTATTATTGAACTGAAAGAGTTCTACGATTTCCCTTTTCTGAATTGAGCGTCGGAGTGCCTTCGCAGGTACCCACTCCATTCTCCCTGACGAGTTCCAAATAGGAAGAAGACGTGAAGATAACTGAATTATTGGAAGGAGAGGACGTGACTCATTGGATTCGTATCTCGGCCTCAACTACTATACCGAAACAATTTATATTTTTTATAATGATATGTGTCAAACACCTCAGTTGAATAATTGAGCTTGTGCTTTCATTTTTATTATTTTTAATTTTGTTTTCTTTTGGAACCACAGAATAAGTAAACCACTTATCATACTTTTAGAAAGTAAAAAGTTTAACATCTGGTCGGATAAAAAGTGAAAGGAAAGTTGTATTGAGTGTTAGCTTTTGAGGTCTTTTTCCACCATTGGAAGGGAACATAGTGACCCACACATTCTGCATTTCCATTGCATTGCATATCAAAATTCAACTCTCTGTCTCTGAAACCAAACCTAACTAAGTCTTCGCATGATAACTCATAACTCGGTATGAGTGGGAAGCAAAATCTAAGCTACCAAAATCATGATTTTCTTGCAATTGACTCGTGCATAATTGGGACCTTTTCTTGTTCGTCTGGGACATGTTAATTCGTTTCCTGTTCCTTGACTGTGATGACATGCGCATACACACACACACACACTGTTAGAACATACGTGCACTAATTTGTTTCCTATTCGTTCCAACCTCTTAAATTAACCTCTTACTTCTTTACCCAATAGAGCAAATAACAACAGACACTACAGGAAAAGTGCTGATTACCGACGGTAATTTATTGACGGCCTTAAAGCCTTCGGTAATGAGTTGAGGAATTAAAGTATCGACGGCCTAACAGCCTTCGGTAATTTCTTCGATTAATTTTGCCCCAAATCACCGTATTCCCTCTCTGCAATTCATTTCCCACCAACAGCTCG